ATCACTTCAGTCAGCCATTGTTGTTTTCGATGTTCTCAATAAAGAAAACATGATGTTTATTTCACAGTTAAGCAAATTTGTGCTGTTATACAATATAAAAATTCTAGGGCTTGGATATTAACCCGTCAATTTCAAAAAATTATTTAAAAAACATTAACATTATCAGATTTAATTGCATTTTCTCATTTCCCAAGCAGGAACCTCTGCACTCACTGTTTTTTCTACATCCGTAAATCTGATACCAAAGCTAAATCACAGGTGTAATTCCACTGGGGATATTCATGCTTAAAGACCTTCATGGCTCCAACCAAATACGAGTTATAGAACGATTCCTTCCACCAAATATGGTACAAAAATATATATAGCAACGTCAGACAATATTGTCTGTAAACAATAAAGTTTCATTTCTAATACTGACAGAACTATGACAGTTCAGCTCTGAATAAAACACCACCTTTAGGAACTTAATTGCTGATTAATGTGCAGCATTTAGGCCACTGGAGCTACTTTTTCTCATTAAGCCAGCTTCTAACACAAATATTAAATTTTCCTGGTCCTTGGACCTTCCTAACTGCCAGCATTGTTCGCATATATAGCACTTATAGTCGCATATATAGTCTACTGACACACTTCCGCCTTAGTTTACATATCCATAACAATTTGAGGTATTCAGTAAGTACACCTCGCTGCAGAACTGATGTTCATGCACTGATCAGACTTCTATGGGAGTAGTTTTTCACAGAAAATGTGTAAAATATCAGCTAAAATATTATAACTTTTAAACAATCCGATGGTTATAACCTAAATAACCCAAAAAGGTGGATTTAAAACAATATGGGTTGTTGTGCTTATATAATCATTTATTCAACAGTGACGAGGAAAAGAGTTTTTTTTTTATCAAAAGGATTATTTATTTGGTCAATTATATGATTTTCAATTAAAATGCGATTCATTTTGATTAATTCATTACAGACCCTTTAATAAACTTGACTAAACATTTTAATCTTGTCCCACTATATGTACTCACACAATATAAAATACATATTAAATTGTTTTTGTTTTGCAAAAAGTCAAAGAAATGAAATAATTTATAATCGTTTGGGAATAAGAAGAGATTTCCATACTAGCAGGTTTTAACAAGGGGCTGGTATGGATCTATAGTCCAGAGGCAGAAGAGGCTCAGACCCAGAGAGGCAGAGTCAGATGCAATAACCACAAGGAAGATCCACAAACTGTAACCATGCAGTTGGGAGGGAGTCAGAACAGAGGTAATCATCAGTCCAATAAAGGGAAATAGCATTATGCAGAAACCAGGGCACAAAAACAGAGTTTTGGACCAGAAACCAAAAGCAGATGAGAGATCCACCAGGAGCAAGACAGAACAGGGTTATAAAGGAGGCAGAAACAGAGTTTTGATCAGGCAGGAAAGACACTAGACCTTTATTCAAAGGGCTTAGAAATAATCTGGCAGAGTCTGTCTGCCAGAGAGCTGCATTTAAAGGCAGCAGAACAGGTGCACAGAATAAGCTGGTTGCAACTGCTGACAGCAGAGGTGCAGGTGGAGCTGATGAACTTAGTTAAAAAGGAGCAGTGAGACAGAATCAAAAGATTTTATTGGTTTTTATTCTTAACCATTTTCATTTTTTCTCCTTTCGGATGCATCAGACAGCCATACTAGTTTAGAATAGTGTTACTTGGCGTCTCATACAGTGGCATCAAATTAGGTAGCATGTGTATGGGTACCTTCATGGTTAAAACATCAGTTGTCATATCATTTCTGTCCCACAAACAGGGCAACAGCGATTTAAAATCCACAATGCGTTTTTAAAGGAAGCAGTGCAGTTACTGCTATTCAATACAGTCTTCTGATACAGATCAATGGAAACAGCAGAGACCAGTGGAGCCACACAGACTCGCTGCTGATTCAATTTACGGTCTCTATAATTCATATGATCCAATGCACTGACAGTATGCACACAAACGCCGTACACTCTCATAATGGGGCAAATATTATGTTATGATGGATGAAGATTAAGCACCTTTTAGTCCTGAGACAGATACACAAGTTTGTCTAAAAAGAAAAGCTTTGCTTTTATTTATATTCAAAAACTGTTACGAAATGTAACTTCTCGAAAATTCAGATTACCTTACTTCTTAAAACATTGTGGCTTTAGCTAATTGTGGAGCAGGAAACAGTATAAAAGGGTACGGAACAACTATTTTTACATTTTCTGTTATTACTTTTTGTTGCCTTAACTACTTTCAACTAGAAAATTTCATTATATGAAAAACATTTGGACATTTCTCTATAACAACAGATGCATGCAAAAACTCATCCTGCTCATTGTTGAGCATAATGATGGATCTGTAGTTCTGTGGGCCTTTTTCTATTCCAAAGGTCATGGAAAGAGTTAGTTCTACTATGGCATCACAAATCCTTCAAAACTCTGGGACAGTTTATATTGATTAATGCAGCCCAGAAATCTGATAATGTCCCAAAACATTGGACCAAGTTAACACAAAAAAGGTTTAATCTGATTCAAAATCAACCTTCTTCCAATGTATACAAAGAGGTTTTAGAGAGATGGTGGAAAGAGGAATGGTTTCTAAATTCCTTCATTATTTTTTTTTGTGTTAGAAAGACAAAGTCTGTCCTGCTGGAAACAGATCAGCAAAAGTATTTGTAAATTACAGTATAAACAAGAATACCAGCAAGTGAGGTACACATCATTTTCTTGAGAACATTTTTATTTGCAGAATTTCCTCTAACCAGAACATGTACTTTAATAATAGTACTTGCGATTGTATTTATTTTGGCACCTTTCAAATGCTAAAAGTTTATAACATCTCTAGTTCCATAAAAACAGGATTTAATATATCTTGACTGGGTAGAAATACATTAAATGTTTTTTTTTTTCATATTCTAATGTATAAAAATATAGTCAGCCCAGAATCTCTGGTCTTTCATAACTGAATCAATTATTTATAAGTGCTCCTGCAGACTATGTTGTTCAAGGATCAATGCCTTCTGTGTTGTGAACTGATACGGTCCTTGCTGCAGCAGGTTAATGGGGCCATCATGATTTTATCCAATGTTGGAGGCGCTTGCTGAACAAAACGCTGCGCCACACCCTCTTGACACACTTCAAACAAGGTATAACAAACAAGAGAAGTCTAAAGGAAAATCAATGCATCTTTATTTTTCATCTTTTGCTAATACAAAGGTCAAGAGTTACCAGCTGATGGAAGCTTTGACTTATGCCTATACTACTGAGAGCAAATTAAACAAGTCGCAAAATTGTATTTTTATCAGCTGGATTCAGAGAGTTTATTACTGTTTATTAATAGTCTCAGGCACTACTTGAAATTAGCCTTGTTCATCTCCTTTTATTAGCCTCTACAAAGTACTCCAAGGATAGCGCTATTTAGTTTTTTTTCATTGGCCAAAGTCCTTATTGGGGGTATTGCTGCTATTCATTCTATGCTGTCTTTTTGATATAAGGTACACAGGTTTTACATGTTTACCTGTGTTTCTTTCTAAGCTAAAGCCAATAAAAAAATCTACTGCTGACTTTAATACCATTGTATTTCTTTTATTATTTTTGTATTACCACTGTCTTTTTTCAGATTAAATGATTCTATATTACTATGCTTTAATGAATTTTTCATCCTGTTAAATCTAAGAGGCTTCATCCCACTGTCACCAAGTGCTTGTTCAGGATAAGGGGATCCTGCAAAGTCAATTACTTCATCTGATTCCTTAAAATAAATAAAATATAAGCATTATCATCCAATCACATCCCATTTCCTGCTTATCTGTACACCCCCCTTTTCAGCACAATGTTTTGTCAATACTTTTCTTCTTGCTTACTTTTTGTTTTAAACTTTAGTTGCATAAATTACCCATTTTTATGGACAGGATTTCAAAGTAGACAAGGTTGACTTGCTTGTGAACATTATTGCATCATCTTTGCTTTAGTGAGCACAACCCTTTTTCAAATCATGATAAGTTTGAACCCCTTCTTCCTGAGCAGTTTTGAGAAATAAAACCATTTTGTTTCACTAACTTAATTCTCTGGTGGTGATCTAAACTTTAGCTGTTTATTTGTGCGAAACTTATTTTGCTTCCTCCTTTTAGGAGTTTTCACTTTATGTAAAACAGGTCCCAAGAGTTTGCAGCCAAATAAATTGATTTGCGTCTTCTCCAAAGTAAGTGGTATTCATCATTCTGTCAGGCAGAGTGATAATGTGAATGGCATTAAATATTCAGCTAAGAGGAAGCTGAGTGTCACTACATCTTGTTTGATGCCAGGAATTTATCGATGGCTACACTTTATCTGCTTCAGCTGAAGGAGCTCATTGAAGGGGATCCAAGAACTGCCCAAAAACCACTGGGAGTAATATTATTTGTCTGATATGAATCATGAATTATACATCCTCCAAAATTCACAGAGCTCAAAGGAGTGCATCCATGACCTCATGTTGACGGATGGCTTTTTCAGCAGCACTTGCTGGAAGTTCAAACTGGAAGAGACTGGAAGGTCGTTCGGGTCAATAATCAAAGCTTTGCCGTTTCCTGTGCTGGGTTCAATCGTTAATTTGAGTCAGTCCACAGCAAGAACCCACCGTTAATCTTCAAAATCAATCTGTTTTGCTGCAAAGCATCCTCCGCAGAAACGGTTAAACAGATTTAAAGATCCTCAAGAAATGCACTTTGATGATTTAAGCTCTAATGAAGTTGAAAAGACTCAAACAAGCAGAAATAATTCACTTTCAGCAAGAAAAGAAGCACTTTCTGGTTGCTCTGCTTGTCTTTTATCATAATTTAAATTTTTTGTCGATAAGTGTGCAAATGTGGATGTAAGGCTGAGTGGAGGATGCTTCTCTCCCATTAACCTGACACCACTCCTCCCTCCTCTCACCCCCACCCCCACCCCCATCCACCCGTCCCTCTCTGCCCATTCGACCTCACTCCACCTTCACTCCATTCATCCAGACTGCTGAAGAGGAAACTGCTGCTCCCTCCGGGGACTTGGCATTATAATTATATAGGAAGCAGAGCAGTCTGCCGTCTGTTAGAGGGCAGCAAGGCTGAGGACTGCTCACCATGAACAGCTGCTGATACCATGGATGTGGACCTCTGTTTCTAAAACTCTTTAGGAGGTAAGATAACATCTTGAATTAATCTTTTAAAAATGCACCAACTACTTGGGATTAAATCCTCTCTTTTTAAAAATTCATAATTTCAAAATAAGTTAAAAAAAAACAACTTTAGTCTTTTTTTGTCTTTTTGCTATGTAATTTGATTTGTTAAGAGTGGAAGGAAACAGAAAGAATTAAGTTAGACTGAGTGCATGATGTTAATCTTAAGACACTAATACCATAAAAAGTCTTAAGCTGTTTGAGATTTCTTCTGTTTTTGCTTTTTTGAAGCTTTTAAACACCAACTTCTTTTATTTTATAAAGATATGAGCAAAAGAAAAAAAAATAAACCGCTTTAAAATCATGGTTTTATTTATTAATATAAAAAGCTATCCAAACTGAGCTGCCTGTAGCACATGACAATGGCCTTTAAAATTAGCTGATTTATCTGCCATTGATGGAAATAGTTGCTTACAAGTTTTTGCCATAACTGGCAAATGTATAAAACTAAAATTTTCTATGAAGATTTGCTTAGATGGTCATAACTGAAGTGCTTCCAGTCATGAATAAACTGCCTATTTAAAATCATAGACTGTTTAAGGCCAGGCTTTAAGTAGAATCCCTCTAAATCTGCACTTTTTTTATTTTAGCTATCTAGATGTTGACCTGATAGTGTGTTTTGGATCACTGGTTTGCTGCAGAATTTACCTGCTATTGAGCTTAAGGTAAAGACTAATGGACCAACAATGTCCTCCAGGATTGATGGCTGAAAGCAGCAAAGCAGCATGTTACTATATCACTTGCTGTTGGTGTGACCGGTGCAGTTTTTCGGATGAATGTATAAAATCTTTTTTTCCAACAGTTTTTGGACTGTTACGATGCTCCTCTGACTTCTTTGACTTCAACATGAGCTCTACATGTGCTCTTTGAGTTTTTATGTAGTTTAGTCACTCCGCCAAAGATTCCCACTGTGCCGTATCGTTTCCATATTAATTATGTCTCCTACTTTGGTTTGCTAAAGTTGCTTACAAAGATTCTATAACCCTGATAGGACTAAAAGATGTCAGTTACTTTGTTTCTCATCTGATGTTGAACACCTTTATTTCAGGGCATAATCTGTTGCTCTCTAGATATTTTAGCCTGCCATTTTGTCAAGTTTTATCAAAATGTTATCTAAGTGACCTCCTGATTCTGCAGAGTAGACAATAGAAATGCCTGGGTGTGGGTTTTTAACTCGAAAAAGAAAAACAAAAAAATATCTATTCTGGGCTCCCTTTGCATAACAGAGGTTCTTGCATCATCACAAAGACTGAGTCCAGCCAGGCGACTTGAGGAACTCCTTTCAGCCAAAAGCTGCACTTTTTCTTTTCACCTTTCACATTTCAGGAAATTTAGATTGATTCTGTAGTATACGTTTTAGTTTAGGTTCCTTTAACTTATCTGCAAGGGGCAAAGTCTTACCTCTGAACTGAAGACAGCATCCACCTTTTTGCGACTGAGACCCTTGAAAAGCTCCCCTTAGCATCTTCATCTTCAGATCTGAGCTCCTCCTTTCAAGGCTAAAAGTCACATAGAAAGATTCATTTAAACAGATTTTCAGAAAAGTCTTTAGTTTCTTTGCTTTAAATCTTGTCCTGTGTTGCTGAAAAGCTTTACATTTTTTTCCTCTTTAATGCTACATAGCTGTTGCAGCAATTTTTTATCTATTTTATAAACTCAAAATTGTGCTGGTTGTGCTTTTAGGTAGGTTAATCACCTAAAAACTTAAAGAACACAACTGAAGCCTCCTAAAGCCCTAAAGTGTCACATGCTATGATGCTAATATCACTCAGGGATAAAAAATAGATACACTGCAAACAAGTTTCATAAGCGGTTTTTGTGTTAACAGTTGCTTAATTCAGCCTCAGCATTGCTGTTTTTTTTGTTTTTAAATCAAACTAACTGAGCAGTTCTGCTTTATTGGGTCTTTTATTTAAGGAACTGTTAAAATCCCTTTAGAATTGAGTAAGTTCTCCATATTAGTGCTTATAATGGTTGGACAGGTAACATTTCTTCTGGTATCCATCAAAAATAATTAGTTATCAAAATTAGATCACCTAAAGATTGTCATCAGGAATTTGGGACCTATATAAGCCACACATTGCTGCTGTTTTCAAACTATGAGATATGGATGCGGTTTTGTTTCCTCTTTCTTACTGATCTGTTTAATGCTGTCAAAATGAGTTTCAGTTATTGGTCAGTCTTTTGGGACTTTTCACAGAAGCATTTTGTGATCCATTTTACAATTATGCAGCAGTAATTGACAGTTAACTGAATTAAATGGCATGGCTTCCTGCCTTACTATTTTGAAGAATAGCCGAGAGATATTGGATTGTTAAGACATTTATATTGGGTAATACAGATTGTTGTGTTTATTTTACAGGCAAAGTGAGTGGCTGTAAACTCTTGTATGTTCTGACGTTTTACAGAGCAAGAAGAGAAAGCAGGCATGTCAGAGAAGAAGCCACGGGGAGCAGACACGCGTCCCAAATCTGGCCTCCGCAGCTGGAGCGCAGACAGTTATATCTGGCGAGGGAAGAAGCGCTCCCGGAGCTCTAGGAACGGTTCTAGTCCCAGTGGAATGGAGACGGACAGTTCGGAGGAACTGGGCGTGCGCTCCACATCCTGTTCGAGGAGGCGCAGAGAGAGGAAATGCAGCTGCAGTGCTCTTGGGGATGCACTGACGGTTGGAGACATCGATGGGGTGTGTAGGAAGGCCCTGTCCCGGCGGTCTCTCCGGCAGAAGTTTCAGGATGCTGTGGGTCAGTGTTTTCCCCTGCGCTCCCACCATCATCACCATCACCACTACCACCACGCTGGAGGCTCCTCACGCCCCTTTTCTGTGCTCTTCTGGTCCAAAAGAAAGATCCATGTCTCAGAACTCATGCAGGAAAAATGCCCATTCTCTCCTAAGTCTGAATTGGCAAAATGTTGGCATCTTATTAAAAACCAGGTAGCTCATCCAGGTTCTCTGAAAGACATGGAGACTCCTCTAAAAGCGTCCAGCATTTCATCTTCCACCTCCCCACCACAAACACCTCTCTCCTGGGAGGACATCTGCTGCTCCCCTGGGCCAGGCGGTGCCCCTCTGGAGGACTGGGATCCTTCCTCTCACCATAGGGGTGCAGATGGGACCTGTAACAACACTGACTACATCCTGGTCCCTGATCTCCTCCAGATCAACAACAACCCATGCTACTGGGGGGTGTTAAACCGCTTCGAGGCCGAGGAGCTTCTGGAGGGCCAACCTGAGGGGACGTTTCTGCTCAGGGACTCGGCCCAAGATGAGTTCCTTTTCTCAGTCAGCTTCCGTCGCTACAGTCGCTCCCTGCATGCACGCATTGAGCAGAACGGCAAGCGTTTCAGCTTTGACGTGCGTGACCCTTGCATGTACAGGGATCCCAGCGTGACGGGTCTGCTGAGGCACTACAGCGACCCAGCCACCTGCCTCTTCTTCGAGCCCCTGCTCTCCAGACCACTGCCAAGGACATTCCCCTTCCCTCTCCAGCACCTGTGCAGGGCAGTGATCTGCAGCTGCACTACCTACCAAGGCGTAGAGAGCCTGCCGCTGCCGCCTCAGCTTAGGGAGTACCTCAGACAGTATCACATTAAGTGTGACAGGGCCTGTGCAGTGTCTACACCCACAGCAGCTGGGATGCAGGATCTACACTGACACTTTCTTACAGATCTCAGTTCTGAGGGACATTTTGGACCTCCTATCACCATTTCCAACTAATCAAGGTTCTATAATGTCACTTTGCTAATAAAAAAAACAACTGTACAGCTGATATAATATGCTAAATGAACTTTGATTCTGTAAATAAAACCAAGAGAATAGCCACTTTAATAGACTTTAGAGAATTACAAAAGTGTTCCTAACTCATTAACTGTTAAACATATTGTCATTTTACAACCACAAACTTCGAAACATCTGACTTCCTTCAATAGGGTAAAACAAAAACATGTATTATATATAAAGAAGAACAGACAATAAACTTTTTAAAAACATTTTCTTACCAAAGAAATCTTAAAAGTGCCGTATACATTTTTTAGCCCCCTCTACTCTTGAACCTCTAAATTGAATATGAAGGTTAACTTTAGATCAGCTGCTCTGTGAAGACGTCACAGACATTCACCAAAACATAACCGTCCACCAAAAACTGCAGGTCAGGAAAGGAGCAGAGATGGTAGGTCTAGTAAAGCTGCAAGAACCCACAACTCAGTTTGGAAAAACTGTAGTCAGAAATTGTGTTAGTCAAGATCTTTACAAATATAGAGTATCGGGGAGTGCCAAGCTGAGAGTCCATATCTAAAGTAAACAACAAGAAGTCTTGTGGAAGGTTTAACAAAGGTAAACATGAGGTAGAAGCTCTGTTCAGGACCATAAATCTTAAAGTTATTTGCTTGCCTGCAAAATGATAAATGTTACAGTAAACTGACACTGTACACTGATCATGGTGAAACATGATGGTGACAGCATCATGTTGTGGGGAAGGGGGCAGAAAAGACAGATATTAAGGAACTAAAGAGGCTGAAGAAAACTTAAGGCTGTGGGGCAGACTTCCTTCAGACATAACATCAATATTAAACCTCCACTAAGAGCAGCAATAGAGATCAGAGGTGGGCAACCTCAGTCAGGAGCTGCTGTCTGCATATCTATGTTTTAAATCCACCCTGGTCTGATCACATGGATGACTCATTAAAGGCCTGTCTTTAGCTTCAGGTGTATGTTATCCGTCTCAGACTATATTAAAACCTGCAGGACCAGACTCTCAAGGTGATGATTAGGTGTGATGTCACTATTTTTTGCACCATTGGCCAAAATTCCCAAGTTGACAAAACTTTGTAGCAATGTATTGTTGCTGTTTTTTAATAAAAAAATTTATAATGTTTCTGTAAATTCTCTCTTTTTATTTTTAAGAATTTTAAATGTTTCATAAAGGAACTCAAAAGAACAAACTATTGTCCAAAATCAGGTTTAAAAGGTTTTACCTAATAAAAAAAGTCAACAGTTTCATTACTTTTTGGTTGAAATAATTAATATTTTGGGAAGCTAGAAAAAGTTTTAGTCTGTTGATAGCAAAAAAAAACAAAACAAAAAACTGCTGAGAACTCTCATCACAGAGCCCTTCATGTTTTTAGCCATATTTAATAAAGTGATATCAGGGCATACAAATATGGCTGCCAAATAAAACAAAAATACCTTTTCAGAGAGGAAAATCAGAGGAAAATCTAGACTTGTTATTCAAATTTGGGTCTAATGTAGATTCAGTTTTTTTTTTTTTTTTTTGCAAAGAAGAATGGACAAAGTTTTCTGGGTGTACAAAGGTAAAACAGACATATCCCAAAACTAAATTACAATGTAATTAAAAGTAAAAGTTAATATTTTAGTTGTTTAAAAAAAAAAAAAAAAAAAAAAACGTGAGAACCATGTGTTCTTTTCTTTTCACTAGAAAATTGTTTGCTCTTTTTTTTTTTTTTTTTTTTTTTTTTAAGTTTTGTAGCATTTTCCCCCAAATCACACATGCCTTATTCTAACTGCACCTTTCCTCGTACCTTCTAGAAATACAATGAACAGCTCCAAGAATGTTACATAGTTAAAAGTTTAACCTTTTTATTAAAAGCTTCAAACCAAACCTGTTCAAATTTCTCGTACAGACTGAAGAGACCGAGTTTGGACCATATTATTTCATAATAAGGGACGAGTTATGATCTTTTTTGACATAACTGACAAGAAGTCAAGTGGTGTTCTATCATTTGACCACAAGATGGCACCAAAGGTTTCTGTAACATGAGAATAAAGGGTTTGTTTCTACACAATGACACAATGTAATGAAAGGTATTCTCTAAAAGCAGTTTATACATAGTTTTAATTGTGTGTAAACTGCAATGACGACCTCCTTTGGTACATATTGCTGTAAATTCATTGACAAGCAAATCGATAAATGATGTTTCAGTAGTTTTGCTACTTTCTAATATTGTTTTCTCACCTGAGGAATGTTTATGCAACATATAAACCCTTCACTCACAACATGTTTCTGTTTCTGCTGCAATTGCATCATCTTTAGACAAGCTAATGATATGGAAAATATGACTTTGAAGTAGTGCTCTGCAAAGACGAAGCAAAAAGCAATTCATCACAGACAGAGGAGGCTCTAAATGCCATAGATAATTGAAAGATAAGGGCATGAAAGTTACGGGTTTTTAGTGGGATTTCGATATTTTTTGTCTATGTATGAGTCATTTAGCTTTTCACTATCAAGTTCGGTAGAAAAATTACCTGAAGTGGCTTCACTTTAGGAAAACAGATTTGTCAGTAATATCCAACTACTGTCAGAATTTTCCTTATTTTGTACATTTTAATCCACGTAGTTCTCTATTTACTACTGATTTTCCATTTCTAACTCATCCCTTATCTGGGACAAGTCCAGCTGTTTTTATTATCATGTGAAATAGAATAATCACAATGAAATAAAAATGTTATTGATAAATATGAACTGTTTTATAATCACTTTTACATTGAAGTCTTTGAATCTTGTGACAGAAACCGAAGAATCTTTAAAAGCAGAGAAAGGCTTTCATAATTCAATCAGGTCCTAATAAAGACGAAGTTATCTAAAATATTTAATACAAACAGTGAAGCTACAGTTGCACAAAGATTATCTTTAAACTAAAACAATAACTTAACCATGCTTCTTCAGTTTTAATTTGCATAGGCGTTTTTAAATCTAAAAGGGAAATATGAATAAAGGTGTTTAGTTTGATAGTAAAATGTCTTTTTTTAATCATTTGAAAGCCTGTGTGCAAAATTGGGCTGTGTAAGTATTATTGAATAAAATAATAACTTTATTTACACAATACAATTAAACAATACAGTATAATTACGAATTTAACACAAACAAATATAATCTATAATTATTGACATATTTATGTTTTATATATTGAAAAAGGGTATGAAGTAGAAAAGCATATTCTGTCATGCAATCCATTGTTTTTGTTTACAGAAGTATATGAGTAAAAAATCTTTCTTTTTGGGGGGATTTCTTGCTTACAGACACTGAGGAGCCATAGGTATTGATCTTCCTCAAACTTCATGAAATATTAATGCCATCTTATATTAAGGAAATCAACTTTTGGATTTTAGGGCCAATAGTATTGGCCCAATACTATTGTTACATATCAGATAAATTCAAAATCCACACCAGGAAATGAAGATTTTCCCTTGATATTTTAATTTACCAATTAATTTCACTCAAACTGGAGTGTTTTCAGACAAGAGCTAACTAGAGTGAACAAGAATTTTTAAGAAGTATGCTTGATGCTGAAAAATCAAAGTTAGAGCAAAAGAGATTTTTTTTTTGTAATGATTACATGTTAATACAATAGAGCAGGATATTAAAAAAGAAAACTTTGGTAAAGACAATTGTTACTCTTTTTGAATTTTCAATGGCAGTCTCCAAATTTGCAAATACAGAATACATTTAAATCTATTTTATTTAATAAAAACTTGCATAAATGGATTAATTAATAAAGTTAGTTCGCATTGTAACTTATTACAAATACATTTATAATACATGTATACATATTTATTAAATTAATAAGCTGTCTTTTCCATGCCATGTTGATTTTATTATTTCAGTATTTACTGGTTAACTATTTTGAACATATGCAAGGTATGCATTATGAAGGTATATGTCATGTCAATACTAAAAGCACACTGAAAAACAACAGTAAAAAAGTAAAAAAAATATATTGATGGCATAACTTTATATCAGCTTTCTACGGAAGAGGATAAGGCCACTGAAAAAATGAAAAAAGTGCACTAATTTTTAAAATTTATTTCAGTATAATATGAGAAAAAAGTCAGAATTCGGACTCTAAACTCAGAATTCTTACTTTTTTCTCAAAATGCTGACTTTAATCTCAGAATTCTGACTTAAATCTGAAAATTTTGACTGAATTCTGACAGCTATCAGACATGTAAGCATCAAGTTGTAGCCATGTCTGTTTTAGAGACTAAACTATCTCTCTTGTTTTAATCACCTTCTGCTATTCCATTAATGAAATAGCATCACCAGGGACCCCTCGAGCATGTAAAAAGTCGCCTTATTCCATCATTTTTCACCTATGTGTTACTGGCCCTGTCAAACCACTCACATCTTTGTCAGTGAAGCTAAGTGCTCCTACATCTCTTCCTTCATGGTGTCCACCTACATTAACATCCACAATTCTGAGATTAAAGTCACAATTCTGATAAAAAAAATGTCAGAATTTGTGAGAAAAAAAGTCAGAATTTAAGATTAAAGTCAGAATTCTGACTTTTTTCTTATATATATTTTTTCGCTATATTAAACTGAAATAATATTTAAAGAACAATTAACTTTTGTCCAGTGGCCCTAATCATCTTCCGTAGATTTCAGAGTCAGGGTTATATTTTTAGTGAGTTAAAAAAAAAATAATAATAATAATTTTTTTTTTTAAGACGGTAAGGTAATTTGTGAAATAGAGATTAATAATCTATTAAAACCGAATGAATAACGAAAAAGAAAATGATTTACGTTTTTCTGAAGCTGCGTGAACCCTTTGGACGGTGGGAGGAGTTTATCCCCCTACGTTGTCACGTAGCTGGCGGGAGTTGTGACGCAGAGCTTCCTTGTTTAACTCAGCGCGGGAGTTTAACGGAGTAAGGTAAGAGTAGTTCGGCTCTCTAAAGTTTTAAACCACGTTTTAATGTCAGAATAACGATAACGTTATTGAAGTAAATAATAAAAGTTTAGCATCCAGTGCCCTAAACGCTCTCTCTGTATCTCAGCGCTCATTTTGAATAGGTTTTAACTGTACAGTTTATTCTTGCTGCTGTTAGCTTCTTTCATAAATAGCATTGCCAGAGGGAATAACCGTTCATTAATGTAGTGCAGAAATGTTCCAGATATGTCATTTATTTCCGTATCTCTTCACTCATGTTAATGAATTAACTCCGTACGTCCAGTGTTCTTAAACATGCCCTGCGAAAGGAAGCCGATGCGCTACGGCCACTCGGAGGGACACACCGAGGTCTGCTTCGATGACACTGGAAGGTTGGTCTGTCCTTTGGTTCAAACACAACCAAATTAAAACCACTGATAAAGCAGCTAGATGTTCCCATTTCAATACCTTAGTCTGCAGAGCTCCACAGGAAAGAGACCAATTCATTGTAATGAAAGGGTCTGGATGTGTATTGAGGTTAAAAGGCTTTTAAGTGCAGCTGTTATGAAAAACACACATAGGATGTTGAGAGCATTTTAAATGAAGCAGAGATCATGACATTAGTTTAAGTTTCCTGCAAAGTAATCACAAAAACTGCCTGACTGAAGGTAAACAAGACACAGTGGTGTCAAAAGTACACACACTTTTTACTTAAAGGAATAGTACACCCAAAACATGATTAGCCTTCATTTTCTACTCACCCCCATGCTGAACAACACTCTGGAGTACTTTTTTGATATCTCAAATGCATCTGGAGATCTGGGAGGCTTCTTGCTGTCTGCTGACATTCAAATAATGGAGGTCTATGGTGACCGAGACAGAACGGTCCATAAAAGTCCACAAAAAACGTGTCAATATTCCTCCATGCTGCTCGTCCAATGTATTCCAAGTGTCCTGAGTGGGTAGCATCCAGAATTTACTCGAAACGAAGTCATTTAGAATGTTTTTAGAGCATAAACAGTAGTGTATAGGATTTCCTGAAAGCGCGCACATGCGCGATCCCGACGCTACAGAAGCCGGCAGACCAAACCAGAGCATTCAGCTCGGCAAAGAACTCATGCTCTTCCTCAACACTGAAGTCCTCAGATATTTTTCTTTCGTTGTTTCTTTCTTTGCACAGGTAAACAGCACATTTCTTCTTCTACGCTTGCATTATTGGCAGAGCAGACGCTGAATGCGCACTTTCATCTGGTTTGGTCTGCCGGCTTCCGTAGGCTCGTGAACGCGCATGTGCGCGCTTTCAGGAAATCCTATACACTACTGTTTATGCTCTAAAAACATTCTAAATGACTTCGTTTCGAGTAAATTCTGGATGCTACCCACTCAGGACACTTGGAATACATTG